GATGCAGGTGGCTCAGAAACCTGCTTTGTGGCATTACACTGTCTATGTTCAGCAGTGCCCTTGTAATGAGTTGTTATGATGATGATGATGAAGTCATTTATACAGAAATTAACATCGTAGCATTTTTTTTTATAGAATAAGTGTACAGTGCAACCGTACATTTTTGTTAGTAAGCGATTTTTTCTTATATCATATATATATATATATATATGATATAAGAAAAAATCGCTTACTAACAAAAATGTACGGTTGCAAACGTGTTCACCTGATAGTAAGTCGATTAAGTGGCCTAAAGACATTTATTCTAAGTTAAGAATCAAAATGCAGAAGCGTTGTCACCCCTGAGGACTAAGATGGAATGCTTCGTTTCCAGTAAAAAGAGTCTCTAGAATTCTACACTCACCTTACGAAACAGAGCAACATTAAGCTGTTATTTTACGCTGGTATTCTCCTCCCCGGTCGAGTGTTCCCGGTCCTCCCCGGTGCGTGAGTCCGACTCGCACTTGGCCGGTTTCTTAGTATTCTAAGCCAGCGCTTCATTACTATCCCACCTTATGGTAAGTGGTGATGCAGCCGAAGATAGCGAAGTGCACATAAGAAGTGGAGAAGTGTTTATAAAACATCAAACTATTTAAAATAATTAGATGTTGTATAAATAATTATATCTTTCTGACATTTCCATAGCTTTGCTCCTTATGACACAAGCGGGACGCGATAGATTCTCTTATGCCGCTATGATAATGATATAATAATCTCGCTTGTCGACAGAGGGTAACAAACCGACAAAGGGAAAGCAGCGTCTACATAATTACAACTAAAAATTAAAAAAATCGGTTACCATCCTGTCTACTACGTGTTGCAACTATGGCAAATATTCCCCCTATGAGGCAATGCAGGAATCAATGGGGGAGACCTATGTTTTACAGTAGACTTGATAGGCTATACAACCAATAATTTATGTAGTGTGGATATACGAGTACCACGAATAAGTCACACAGCGTATAATTATAATAAGAAAAGCAACAAATCCGTGTGCTTTTCGTTTATAATTAATCAGTGAATAAAATTTTAAAACATATAGCAGTTATGGTAACTTTTTATTCATTAATACGAAAACAATTAGTATCAAGTTATTTGATTACAATTGTTTGTAAAGAAATTGAAAACGACTGTTTCTCAACTGTTGCTTCCTGTATGTATACTGAATTTGATAATATGCGTAGTGCTGCTTGGGATACAAGTATAGTAGGTTTCCACTATGCAGATCATCTTTGATACTTATTTAAGTTCAAATCCTATAGTATTTTTTATAGAAAAGGGGGCAAACGAGCATGTGGCTCATCTGATGGTAAGTGACTACCGCCGCCCATGAACAACCGCAACACCAGGGGAATTGCAGATGCGTTGCCGGCCTTTTAGAAAGGTGTAAGCTCTTTTCTTGAAGGTCCTTATGTCGTATCGGTCCGGAAAAATCGCTGGTGGGAAATAATTCCACAGAGAAGTTGTACGAGGAAGAAAACTCTTAGACACACAGTCGTGGACCGCCAAGCATCCAGATGGTGAGGAGGGTATCGTGAATTTTGACGCGATGTGCTTTCGTGAAATTTAGCGGCTAGAATTAATCCGAACAATTCCTCAGAGCACTCCCCGTGGTAAATTCGATCGAAAATGCAAAGGGATGCAACATCCCTACGCAATGCCATTGTATCGAGCCGATCATAAAGAACTCGGTCGTCGACAACTCGATCCGCTCTGCGCTGAATGCGGTCAAGTGGAAGGAGCTGGCACTGGGGTGCCCCGGCTCAGATATGAGAACAGTATTCCATGTGAGGCCGAACTTGCTCTTTGTAAAGTTGCAAGCGATGTGCCGGCATGAAATACTGCCTCGCTCTGCTGAGCATGCCAAGCTTTTTAGAGGCCAATTTTGCCTTCCCTTCCAAGTGACCACGAAACTGCACACTATTCGATATGTCGTCGCCGAGGATTCCGATGCTAGCTGAGGCAGTAAGGGAAGTACCTTGAAACTGAGGAGATACGACAAAGGGGTTCTGTTAAGCGGTAAACGCGCAAACTTGTCTCTTCTGGGGATTGAACTGGAGTAGATTTAGTCGCCCCCATCCGAGACTTTGTTCAGCAAAGACTCGACTTCAGGCACAAGTTTGTCCCGGTACTCGGCGCCGTTTTCCCGAGAAATATTGGCACGGCCGGTATATAAGGCATCACCAGTACTGTCGTCTGCATAGCAATGAATTTCATTCAAGTTTGCAAAATATCATTGATATGCAAGAGAAGAGGAGAAAAAGAGGAGGAGGAGGAGAGAAGAGAATAAATAGTAGTTATTTTAATTTTAACCGAAAGATTTTTGATTGTATCAACAATTTTTACAACATTGCAGACTATTTAAAATCTTCATATTCTAAAAAGTGACTATAGCTGGCTACAAAAAGTGGTTCAAAATCAGCGTAGTTTTGCTCAAAGACTTTTTTCAGTGTTTATAATATTATTTTCTTATCTTATAAAAATATATTTTAAGAATTTACAAACCTTCACTTTTATCTAGCTTCGTCGAGACTAATAGTTGTATTAATGTGTCCTGCACACGACAGATTGAAAGAAGGTTTCCTTGTATGTCACCGGAACCCTTAAAATAAAAAGCATTCTTTTAATCTTTCTGTAAACGTAGAACTCGCAAACATCTTAATAAGTGCCTGAATAATTAAAACCTTACACAGACCGCACTAATCTTACCATCCAAGGTTTCATCGATACTTGGTCCTTGGAGACCGGATTACCCGATAGAAGCTACGCTCCCGAGGCGATTCTGTCCTTTCTTTGTCTAACCCGACTGCCCGGGGACAGGTGCGGCTTCCTGAGCAGGATTTTAATTAATAATGTCTCGATAGTGTGGTGTTAGTGTTTTAGATCTCTAAACGAACAGTGTGGTACAGATACGGGCCGGTGCTTTGTTGTTTTATTGAAGGAATGTTTGATTTTGTTATTATTAATTGTGTAAAGATTTTTGTTTTGATTACTTGCAGTGTTCTGCTGTTAAGAACATGGAAAATTTAGAATGTTGTTATATACGTCTTTTAACATACATATATCTAACAAACCATAGTAACATGTTTTAACCGAATTTGATTTACTACTTCACTGTCCCGTAAGTCATATATGAACATTTTGTTTGTCCGATTGAAGAAACAAAATTATTAATGTTTTTTTTCGCGTACGACTTAAGCTTGATTTTCGAAATGTCAAACGAAAGTAAGAATTCGTATTTTAATATACGAGGGCGGCACTGAAAATTTCGGGAATCAAGGAAGTGACACAACATTACTATTTAAAAATGTATTTATTGCTTTTCGAAGTATTCTCCGCGAAATTTGACACATTTTTTCATACGATGGAACCAATCATTGAAGCAACCATTCCATTCGGTAGTTGGGGTCTCCAAAATGGCCGTTTTGTAGGCGTCCACAGCTTCTTCAGCTGATGAAAATCTCTGTCCACGCAATTTATTCTTTATTTTAGGGAAAGTATAGAAATCATTAGGGCTTAGGTCGGGGCTGTACGGCGGATGGTCTAATAATTCTATGTTTTCTTGCTCAAAAAACTCTTTTGTTCTGTGTGCGGTGTGAGAACTCGCATTGTCGTGATGGAGGATGATGCGGCGGTTGCAGTTCTCTTTACGGAGTTCAGAAACGACCTGTAGCAAACAAATGCTAGCATACCATTCTGCATTAACCGTTCTTTGTCCCTCAAGAGGAATAGTCGTAACATGGCCGGTTTAGGAGACAAACGTGGCCACCATTTTTTTTGCAACACTCCGTGAACGGACAATTTTTGTTGGCTTTAACTCATTTTCGGACACCCAAACTCGTGACTGGTTTTTTGTTTCGGGTTTGTACGCGTATATCCAGGATTCGTCACCTGATACGATGTTGTATACAGCATTTGGGGATCCTGCGTGGAATCTTTCGAGAGTCCTGACGCACCAAGTAACGCGAGCCACTTTTTGCTCTTCACAGAGCGAATGCGGTATCCATCGGGAAAACAAATTTTTTACACCTAATTGTTCATGCAAGATTATTTGTATTTGAGTCATGCCAATGTCTAAAAATGCCTGAATTTCGCGGTATGTCACATGTCGATCTTCCTCAATCAGCTTACGCACAACATCAACGTTTTCTTGGGTGACTGCAGTTTTTGGACGACCTTGACGGGGATCATCACTGAACTTGACACGTCCACGTTGAAATTCAGCAAACCAGCGATAAATTGTGGTTTTGGATGGGGCTTCATCACCAAATGCAGAAATCATCCGGTCAACACACTGTTTTTGTGTTAAACCACTTCGAAAGTCATAATAAATCATCGCTCTTGAATTTTCTCGAGTCAATTCCATTTTCTCAACGACTAAACAAGTTTGACAAAACCTTGTGACAAGACCGAGAATCTTTTTTTAAATAAATAAATGGTATTCAATTTTAAAAAACCAAGGACTTTTCAATTAAAAAAAATTTAATATGACAGGAACAGTGGAAATATTCCATTCCCGATACTTTTAGTGCAGCCCTCGTATTAGCATTTGCCATAGTCGACTCACACATGCACGGGATGAAATGGTGTTTGCTTGCGCTACCACTGCTATGTGATTTATCATTAAAAATGTTTATAGGATATGAGTGTCAAACGAACACACAGTCCACCTGATGGTAAGTGGTTGCTGTGGCCCATAGACATCTACATCTATCCTCAATTAAGAATCAAAATGCAGATGCGCTGTCTCCTTTGAGGACAATGAAGAAGTGCCTCGTTTCAAGTAATAAGGGTCTCCGGTTCTCTACATTCACCATACGAAACACATTAGCGTTAAGCTAATGTGTTTCGTATGGTGGTTCCCCCTTGTTGGTGCAACCAACAAACCTTTTATCGTACCGGGTCCACAGTGACGTCACGCATACATACGTCACACACATGCCACCACCCCATTCGGTCTCAGACTGCACCGTACAACCGTAGCGGCAACACACATTTATTATATCCTTATTTGTCTTATACGACATTGTAAAATAGTTATTAAATCAAGTTATTAGTACTATCCTGGTCTTCTTCATTGACGATCCTGCGATCCTGGTCTGGAGAGAGCTTACCTGAGGAGTACACCCAACATAATGGCGACCGTGAACTTCTGTTGCTACGTGGACACGTAGTACAAACCTGCATACTGAGGAGAAAAAAGGAATGCCCACTGCACTGCTGTTAGAATCAAAAACTGGACTATCAAGAAGATACCTACCAGCCAGTGTTATTTGAGCCACGACAAGTGTTAATTATTGTGCCGCAAGAGGATTTTAAAACAAAAGGGAGGTTTGCCCGTTCCTTATTTTCCTAGTTTAACTGTGCTAGCCCTGTAAAGCTTCGTTTGTGCGAGCAGATCTCATATTTTCTAATTAGTTCAAATCTATAAGCAAATTAAAATCAGCTGCCCAGCTAAATCGTTCATACCAAGCAGTTTACCGTTAACTTTAATTCTCACTCGCATAAATTATCCTACAAAGTTAAAATAAATATTCAATGCATTTATGGGTTTAATTTATGAACTATTTTAGGTTTCCTGGTGCTAAATGTTAAAAGTTAACTGCTTAAAGATAAGAGTTAAAGATTGCATCAGCCGTTTACGTAATCACCGTTAGCTAACTACCTACTTTTCTGAGCGCATCGATCGCATAATTGCATTCTTTTATTATTTCGCTCGATCCTTCTTATCTGTCGCTTCTCTTATCGCATCAGTACGATACAAGTAGGCAAATAGTTAGTTTTTATAAGGTAATTAATAGTTGTCCGGCCGAATATTCCAGTGTGCCGTCCGCTGCGTATGCGCCGACCCACGTCGCCAGCGCCGAGCGTCTATTGTTCTGCGGTATCCCCGGTCTCGGCGCACAGCTGTTTCATATAAAAAAAAGGCAAGCCTACGCTTTGAGGTATTTATTGCAATCTATTTTACCTACTAATCTTGTTTGTTTGCATAATGACTGACACAGAGTTCAAAGCGAAGAGGGCATCTATTAAGGGGCGATTAACTACATTTAGGAATTATTTGGAGGAGTTTAAAAGGCATAGGCAGGGAAATTTAAATGAGTTAAAATTACGATTACGGAAAGCGGACACATTGTTTGAAGACTATGATAAAATTCAAACTCAAATTGAGGTTAATGAGGCGAAGTCAGGCAAACCCGCCGAGGAGCAGGTGGAATTTAGCGAGCGGGAAAATACGGAAAAATTGTTTTTTATCGCGATGAGTAGTGCTCAGGAGTTGATCGCAGCTAATGAACCTCGCTCCTCAGAGGCCACGGGATTTGATGGTGGGATGGACGCGCGCTTGTCCCACAGTGGGGCTGACGCCGGCGTTAGGCTTCCGACCATCAAGCTGCCTACATTTGATGGCAGTACAAACAAATGGTTAGAATTTCGCGATGTGTACCTGTCAATTGTGCACAATAATGACAATCTCAGTGACATTTGCAAGTATCAATATTTAAAAGCATCCTTATTAGGAAGCGCAGCGTCTGTTATTGAATCATTGGAAATATCGGCGGCAAATTACGAAGCGGCCTGGAAACTCGTTAGCGGTAGATTCGATAACAAACGTCAGCTGATTCATACTCACCTTAAGTCATTGTTTGATATGTCTTTTATTGGAAGGGAGTCTGATAAATCATTACGTTTCTTAATTGACCATGTGTCGAAACATTTGAGGGCTTTAAGTAGTTTAGGTGAAAAGGTTGATAACTGGGACACGCTCATTATATTTATGTTCGCGAACAAATTAGATACTGCAACCAGTACGAAATGGGAGGAGTATAGGAATAGTTTAACCGAGAATCCCACTTTAGAAAACTTTTATGAGTTTTTGCGACAAAGGGCCGACGTTTTGGAAATGATAAGTGCAAGCACTAGCACTAGCGACAAGCCTGACAAGCAAGTTGCGTATAAACGAATGGATAAGGTTCAAAAGGCATTTGTCGCGACGGCAAGCGAGTCCAACACGTCGAGTCACTTAAACGTAAATAATGCACGAGTTTGCCGCATATGTAGTGGGGATCATTTCTTATATAATTGTGAAAAATTTAACCAAATGTCAGTGGACGAAAGAAACACTTTAATAAGAAAATTAAAGATTTGTATGAACTGTTTCCGAGGTGGGCATTATTCCCACCAATGTAAAGCGAGTCCATGTGCCATATGTAGACGTAAACACAATACTCTGCTGCATAAAACAATGACATCCAGCCCTCAGAAAGGTGTAGAAAGCAAGGAGTCTATGTCTACGCCTATATCGTTATCAGCCAGCGTTGAAAATCAGGTATTACTATCAACTGCAATAATTTCAATAAAAAATGTAAACACAAACAAAACTTACGAAGCCCGCTGTCTATTAGACTGTGGTTCGCAGTCTTGTTTTATTACGGAGGCGCTGAGGAATAAGTTAGGCATACAAGGTGAACCTGTTGACACGGTTCGGGTGACCGGCATTAATAATATTTCGTTTGATGCGCTAAGACGTTGCACCGTGTCAATCCAGCCGCGCGAGCGCAGTGATAAGGAATCGTGTATAAAGGTCGATGCTTTTGTTATTCCCCAGATAACGGGTCAGTTGCCATTAGAACAGGTGGACGTTTCGAATATTGTTGTTCCACAAAATGTTGTTTTAGCTGACCCTACTTATTATAAGCCTTCACAAATAGACATGTTATTGGGAGCGGACATTTTTTGGGATGTAATTAGCAGTGAAAGGTTAAGGCTGGGGCACAATAAGCCCTTGTTGCAAAATTCTATATTTGGCTGGTTAATGGTAGGACCTGTAATGTTAAGTAGTAACGATAGCAGCAGTTCAAAGGTAAAAGGCACTCATTGTGGATTTAGTATGGAAATACGTAATCAGCTAAGCAAGTTTTGGGAGTTGGAGGAAGTGCCAACTACACCAGTGTTGTCCCCAGAAGAGGAGGCGTGCGAAGCTCACTTCAAGCAAAACACGAAACGCTTAGCTGACGGGAGGTTTTGCGTTACGTTGCCGTTTAGTACGCATCCAGATGTGCTGGGTGACTCATACAGATTAGCGAGAAAACGATTCGACTCATTAGAGAAACGTTTTAAGCGGCAGCCTGACGTAAAATCGCAATATGTAGATTTTATTAATGAATATGCCGAATTAGGTCATTTATCGGAGAGTGACAAACCAGAAAAAGCCTATTTCTTACCGCATCATCCAATTTTAAAAGAGCAAAGCGAGTCTACAAAGTGTCGCGTGGTATTTGATGCCTCAGCGAAGACTGATTCTGGTTATTCGCTCAATGATATCCTCATGGTGGGTCCCACGGTGCAAGACGACATCTTCTCTATTCTAATAAGATTTCGTCAACACGATTTCATATTCACAGGAGATTTAGAGAAGATGTATAGACAAGTAGTCGTGGAACCAACACAGAGGCACCTTCAAATAATTTTATGGCGTAATAATGAAGCCGAGCGCATGAGGTATTTGGCGCTTAATACCCTGACGTACGGTACGTCATCGGCAAGCTACCTCAGCACTAGGTGTCTCGCTCAATTAGGTCATGAAAGCACCGATCCTTTGGTGAAAGAAGTAATATTACATGATTTTTACATAGACGACTTAATAACAGGTTTAAATGATGAGAAAAAATTAATAAATTTACACCAAAGGATCGACGAGACTTTAAGTTCTGCTCATTTTAATTTAAGAAAATTAAAAAGCAACTCAAAGGAGTTTCTCCGCAGTGTAGCGGAAGAAAGCAATTGTCAGCAAGATAATTTGAAAATATCCAATCAAAGTAATACTTTAGGTGTTGAATGGAATCCTAATGAGGACAACATTTTAATCAAATGTTCGAAATTGCAGTTGATAGATAACCATGTTAAGTACACTAAAAGGGCTGTCCTATCTGTAGTGTCAAGTATTTTTGATCCTTTAGGGCTGTTGAGTGTATGTGTTATTTTATGTAAAATCTTCTTGCAATCACTCTGGTCACAGAAATTGGACTGGGACGAGGAAATTCCCCAGGCGCCTGACTGTATCTGGACTAGGTTTATAAATAACATAGGTTATTTAAAGGAAATAAGTATTCCGCGTCATGCAAGTTGTAGGAATGCAGTAACAATCGAAATCCATGCATTTTCGGATGCCTCGTTAAAGGCATATGCTGGATGTGTTTATTTGCGATCAATGGATGAGTTAGGTAATTACACAGTACGACTTTTATGCGCTAAGTCGAAGGTCGCACCTTTAAAGGCCACGACCATTCCCCGTCTGGAGCTTTGTGGAGCCTTATTAGTTTCACGCTTATGTGAAAGGGCTATACAAGCTTTACGATGCAATATTAAGAATAGGTGTTTTTGGTCAGACAGTAAAATAGTATTGGGATGGCTGTGCATTCCGACAAACAAGTTATGCACGTTTGTATCGCACCGAGTCGCGGAGATTAATGACAAATGTTCAAACGCTATGTGGATGTATGTCCCCTCAGCGCAGAACCCAGCCGACCTGGCTTCGCGCGGAGTATACCCGGATGAAGTACAGTCGTTGTCACTGTGGTGGGAGGGACCTGCATTCCTGCAGGATAACGAAAGCCAATGGCCTGAACAGAGCGGCGCGGTACAAGCGAGCTTACCTGAATTGCGTGCGCACACTGTAAGCATTGATAAATCGATATCGCCAATAATCGACATGTCAAGGTATTCTAGTTTTCTTAAATTACGTCGCATATTTGCATATGTGTGTCGTTTTATCAATGTATTGGTGCATAAGCAAAGGTATGAGTCGAGTTTGCTAACAGTGGACGAGCTTGAACAGGCGGAGTCAAAGCTGGCTTATTTATCACAATGTGAAAGCTTTGCTGATTTTAAGAGCAACCCAAGTTCTATACCTGGTTCAAGTAAATTAAATCCTTACCAAGACGAGTCAGGATTAATACGTGTAGGTGGTCGATTAGATAACTCGAAATTTGTGTACGACAAAAAGCATCCTATAATTCTGGATACAAAGCATCATTTTACTAAATTGATATTTAGGTATTTTCATTTTAAGTTGATGCATGCACCACCGCAGCTTCTTCTTTCAGCTATTCGTGAACATTATTGGCCTTTGAATGGCAGAGTACTGGCGAGACGTACTTATGGTGATTGTACGCGCTGTAAGAGGATGAAAGGAGAAGTTGCGCAACAAATAATGGGCAATTTACCAGCGCAACGGGTCACACCTGGATATGTTTTTGAGATCGTGGGAACTGATTTCGCAGGTCCTTTTTTCACAGTTGACAGGAAAGGTCGCGGCGCAAGACTGTCAAGGAGTTACCTGTGTGTCATAATAGATTTTAAGGTTAAGGCCGTACATCTTGAGGCTGTCAGTTCTTTGAGTACTGAAGATTTTATTTTAGCATTGCGTCGCTTTATGGCTCGTAGAGGGCCCCCTCTAGAAATATTTTGCGACAATGGGAAAAATTTTGTTGGCGCTAACCGCGAGTTAGGTGAGTTTCTCACTGCCGCTTCTAACTCTGTGTCAGCGTCATTTGTAGAAGATAAAATTAAGTTTAATTTTGCACCCGCGTATGCTCCAAACTTTGGAGGCTTATATGAAGCAGCTGTCCGGTCTGCAAAATACCACACGAAAAGGGTGATAGGTAATACGCATTTAACCTTTGAGGAGCTAGCAACCCTGTTCGCACAGATTGAGGCTATACTTAATTCTAGGCCCCTATGTCCTATGTCCTCATCTCCGCACGACCTAGTCCCCCTCACCCCCGGGCATTTCCTCATAGGAAGACCGCTCATTTCATTACCGGCACCAGACCTGCAAGAAGTGAACCCTAACCGGCTTCAAAGATATGCGAAAATCGAGCAGGCAAGGCAACATTTTTGGTCAAGATGGAGCCAGGAATATATCTGCGAGTTGCAGCAGCGCACCCGTTGGCAGCGACGCCGCCCCGACATTCAACCTGGTCAGATGGTTCTGATAAAGGACGAGGTGACACCACCGCTCAAGTGGCCACTAGGACGGATTCAAGCAGTGCATCCTGGCACCGATGGCGCATGTCGAGTTGCGGACATACTTACAACGAAGGGCACGATTCGTCGAGCAATCAACCGAATCTGTCCATTCCTGGATGATGATGAAGCTTAAAGCCAGGAGCTTTAAGAGGCGGGAAGATGTTGGTGCAACCAACAAACCTTTTATCGTACCGGGTCCACAGTGACGTCACGCATACATACGTCACACACATGCCACCACCCCATTCGGTCTCAGACTGCACCGTACAACCGTAGCGGCAACACACATTTATTATATCCTTATTTGTCTTATACGACATTGTAAAATAGTTATTAAATCAAGTTATTAGTACTATCCTGGTCTTCTTCATTGACGATCCTGCGATCCTGGTCTGGAGAGAGCTTACCTGAGGAGTACACCCAACACCCCTCTCCTATAAAAAAAAAAAATTTACACTGGTACTATGTGTGATTTTTGTGTAGTTATCAAGTCTAACTTAAGAGACTAGAATAAACTTGTCTGCTTTATAAAAACTATAACTTTTGTACGAGAAAATGAATGAAGAACGATTGACGAAAAAAGTGTATTAGGCGAATGTGAATGAAAGTGCTGGAAGGGGTAGACCTAGGCGGACTTTTCAAGACCAAATCAGGGACGTCTTGAAAAAAGGCCAGGTCAAGAGTACCCTAAACCGTAGAGCATGTATGAAGAGAATAATGAAAGTGGACGAAGCGAAACAAGTATGTAAGGATCGTAGCAAATGGAAAGAAGTGGTCTCTGCCTACCCCTACGGGAAAGAGGCGTGATTATATGTATGTATGTATGTATAACTTTTGTAAAGTAGACAATGCGTTGCATGATATGTATGCAAGAATACAACGAATAATTTTGATATGAACTTTATCAATAACGTTTAAAAAAGTAGATGACATGCAAAAAATATTTTTTTTATAATATATAATATATACGCACGACTTTTTTGTGGAATGGGATGGCCACCAGCGATTTTTCCCGACTGATAGGACTTAGGGACCATCACTAAAAGAACTTACTCCTTTTTAAAAGGCCGCCAACGCACCTGCAATACCCGTAGTGTTGCAGTTGTTCATGGGCGGCGGTAGTTACATAACATTATGCGAGGCGCACGCTCGTTTGTCCTTTTACTAAAAAAAATATGTTAATATTCTTCCTTGTTGGAAAAAAGGTAGATTTTTCTTAACTATATTACTAAACAACATATCGGTTACAATTTTACAAGAGCCAGTGTAAGACGGGTTTAAGACGCCGTGTCGAGATGGGCGATGGGGGTTTTCTCCCGCCCACCACCTCACCCCCCCTCTCGGGCCTAGTTATACGGTACACGGTTAGCGCGAATGTGTATGCCCACGGGTGTTCATTAACTTGCATGTTAAGCCGATGATCGCAGATAGCGTTGGTGGACCTTGATTGAGAAAGGACTGGGTTATGTGGGTCGGCTTTGGAGCGCTCTTTGAGGGATTTATCGGGTCTTTACTGATTTGAAGACGTTGGGACGACATTAGCTTTTAAAGGTTTTCGTACTTGTTTGTTGCGTAATATTTTTATTGGACTTTACTGTTTTGACAAACAAAACAATATTAAAAACATTACAAACGTAAAGTAATGTAAAATAAAGATAAACCTATATATACGTCTCACTACTGAGCATATGCCTATTTCTCTTACTTAGAGGGTTTTAGGGTAGTAAGGAAATTTTCACCACGCTGCCCCGTTGCATGTTGAGTATGCAATTGTTTGAGAAATTTAAAATAATTTTCTTTCAGTCTCAGGTAAACCAGCACTTCATATTGCCATTAACAATTTTATTGGTGCCGGCGGGGATCGAACCCACGCTTCTCGCGTAATGTGAAATTTACAGCGAGAGCTTAGCCCTTGAGCTTACAACGACTCAAAAGCTTTCCTTTAATTTTGTGATATTTTGATGTCCCAGTTCCTAGTACACATGTCCTATTAAAGGGCGTAGATAGAAAAGTCTATCAGCCCCGTTGATCCAGTGTAAGATGGCAGACTTCATGCATCCTTTTGACGTATTATATGACGTATTAATTTCATTACGTTTTTCTTCACCGAACGTTTTTCTTCACGAATGGTTAATATGATTAAAATTGCAATAGTTTAATTAACACCACTGTTAATAAGTAATTTGAATTTGCTACTTCAATTAGAGTCCTAAAACTTTGTCGATTTTCTAATCTGATTTTTAATATTTTAAAATACGCCTGGAGACGCAAAGTTAAAAAAGTTTTTAAACGAAAAAAAAAACACGTATTTGACTACTCCTAAATAGCTTTTTTTTATAGGATAAGGGTGACAAACGAGCACGCAGTCCACCTTATGGTAAGTGGTTGCTGTGACCCATAGACATCTACATCTATCCTCAATAAATAATCAAATGCAGATGCGTCGTCACTCGTGAGGACTAAGATGGAATGCCTCTTTTCCAGTAAAATGGGTCTCCGGTTATATACACTCACCGTACAAAAGACAGCAGTGTCAAGCTGCCATTATACGCTGGTATTCTTTGAGAGCGTGGTCCCTTCCCGGCCGAGCCGACCTTACTATACTACTAATATAGCTGCACCATGGCTCTACCACGTATGACGATGATAGTGCAACAAATAAGGGTGTAAATGATCCAACAGTATAGGTAACAATTAAAAAATGTAGAGTCCACAACATCAATCACTCTGAGAAGTCGCTGTGCAAATAATATGTAATATGGGAAAACAGTATGAATAAATAAATAAAACTGCACCTGTATTGTGCCCTATCCTAACACACCCTTCTACGCGTTGCCTTGATTACTTTGCTTGTAAAGCTCTCTGAAAATAATGACATTCTCAGTGGCCATTAATACGGGTTCACTGAAACCGGTCGTCTAGAGATCTAGTGGTTGTAGATGAAAGGTTGAAATTCCCCAGGATCTTAGGCTGGAGAATTTTAATTGACCACTTGCTGTGTCACTGGATATGATTAAGACATTTAACAGAGCTTGGCATGCTAGTTCTTACGGATTGACATCTAGTTTTGTGCCGGTAATTTTAAACTTTTTTTTATTTAATTCTTTTTTTTAAAACGTTACTCCCACACTTGGATTTTCTCCTGTATCGTGGAGTCAGTTTACAAACATAAATTGCACAAGGACAAACATCCAGACCCGGAACAATTACTTGTAGGCCATACAAATACTTGTTCCGTGCGGGATTCGAACCCGCGGCCCCCAGCGCAACAGTTCATTGCTAAGCCACTGGGCCACGGAGCCGTCAAAAACTTTCTGAGGGATTTTAGGCATTTAGTTCACTTCTTGGTGACTGCTCGTGTGGATGTTGGGCTGTCAGTTTCGGACTTACTCAGGGATAAGTTCAGCAACTTTTTGTTTATTCCGCGAATTAACTTTATGATAATGCTCGGTGAAGTAGTCAGTGTAATAATGAAATATTGATTTTATTCCTTAATTAAGCGTCTTTAATATAATATACGTATAAAGAAGCGGTTTTTATTAACTTTGTGTGTATAATATCTTATATAGGTATCTCTTATAAATTTTGCTAGTGTGTTATTAATAATTCGATGAACTTCATGACATACTAAATATTACTAACGACATGAAAATATTCGTATTTGATTGCAATTCGCAACTCTATGGAATATTCAAAAGAAACAGATATATACGTAGCATATCCGCTTATTTAAAAAAAATGTCTTATAGAATTGCGTTGAGCTTGTATTTCGTTTCCACATCAGCCCTAGTGCGACCGAATTCAACATGGCGTCATGTAAAACGTACATCGAATACTTGAGACTCGTTCTTTTCCCGCCTCCGAGTGTCGTTGGCGGCATTAAATCTTAATAAAACCCGTCATGCATCACGATGGAGCCCTTTGATTTCTCACTCGGCAAACCGCGTCTCCGCATATCAAAGAAAATCACAACTCTTTTCATTGCGCGCCGATAGAATGTTCACAAAGACCACGTTAATTGATCCCCCACTCCGCCCACCGGTTTTAAAAATCAAACTCCAAGGCTGAGTGCCCCAACTGCGCCAGGGGCCTAAATACAGTGGACACTGCACTGTACTTCCAATTTACTAATACAAATAAGCGAGACTTTGGTCCTCCGAGCCCCAGTGTACCTACAGGCGACGCTTTCAGAGGCGCTATTGTGTTGGACCCTCAATCGTGGTCTCGATTATCGAAAAGAAAACACTCATCTATATTTTAAATAATGATCAGGGCCGAGAGAGGTCGTCGGGCGGGGCGAACAATTGCTTCGAGTGATGGATTGTGTGGGATAGCCCCAATAAACCTTTGTAAGCTTGTCACCCTTGTTTCTGGGGACATTTTTGCTTATAAAATTCTCGTAACACGCCGTATTGTTGCTTGAAGGTCAATTCATTAATTTAACAAAGTATGTACATACGTTCAGCTTTGTATAAATTCCTTTTAGTCGCAAAATTTGTTACGAGTTGCTCCATTAGATGCAATATTAGAGAAATTACACGAATGATTAAAAAAACCATACGTTGTTTGAATTGATGAATATAATTAATTTATATTCATCTGTGTTCGTTCTATTCCTAGAAAACTGTGATAGTTTAATCTAACGGAATTGAGTACATTGACCGATCCTGCAAATTTCACTCCCATGAAATCCTATAAGTTTAAGTAAACAATTCTTGTTTATATGTAAACCGTGTAGTAGTGCTGGTGTAGGAATATCAATTATCTCGTATCGTCTCGTGGGTGTCGTAAGAGGCGACAGAGGGTGACAACCAAGAGATGGACAGCAGTGCATCTTTATAATAACAACTAGACAAAAACTGTGGTTGCTAACCCGTCCGCTAAGCGTGCCAACTATGATAAATATCGCCCTTATCAGGTTGTTTATTTTCTGTTCTATGGAAATGCCTATATTCAGCCGTGAATGAATGAATGAATTAGTTAATAAATCGGCATGGACAATTTGAATGGTTATATTGTTTTTAGATAATGTTTTACTTTTCAACCAATCTGGATTGTAACGCTGATGAAATACTAAATTGCTTTTGTTTATTTATTTTTATTTATCTTTCAAAAACACTTTTGCAAACATACTTGATATAAAATATTATTGCAGTACAACAAAATTATTAAAAAAAATTAAATAAGGTTCTTCTGAAGTGAGAACAAAAAACGATAGAAATTAAGCAGCTATTTTTTTCGTAATTTCTTAATCCAGCCGTGTTCAAGGTCATGCTAATGCTTTTGACCTCTAAACTCAAGACTGGAAAATTGATAATCTTGCACAAGTATTGGCTATGGCTGCGCTTCGAAA